TAAAACTAATAAATGTTGTGGAAAAATATGTGCTCACTGCAAAAAGATAGTGTGTTTACTATCCAGGTGTGTATTTTTTTCTAATAACTTCTATAATCACACAGTCGTCGTTCGTCTGTACTTGGAGATGTTTTTTATGCCACCGCAGCATCTGCGATGCGGTGGCATATAGCGATTAACCTGTGTGTGTGTGTGTGTGTGCGTGCGTGCGTGCGTGTGTGTGTGTGTGTGTGTTATATAGATTATATAGTGAACTTCAAAATATCTTCTTGTGAAAAACCACTAGTCCAATTTCAACCAAACTTGGGAGGCTTGATTCTTGGGTGAAGGGCTTCCAAAGTTGTTCAAAGAATTTCATTCCATGCAGAAATCTGGTTGCCATTGCAACCAAAAGGAATTATAAGAATAAATTTAAAAAATTCTTCTTGTAAAGACCCAAAAGGCCTAGAGCTTAGATATTTTGCATAAAGCATTGTCTGATAGACCTCTACCGAGATTGTTTAAATTATAGTCCTTGGGTCAAAATCGGCCCCGCCCCGGGGGGGGGGGGGGTCATTGATTTTCACTATATGTACATATAGTAAAAAACTTAAAATACCTTCTTGTAAAGACCCAAAAGGCCTAGAACTTAGATATTTTGCATAAGGCATTGTCTGGTAGACCTCTAGCAAGATTATACAAATTATAGCCCTGGGGTCAAAATTGGCCCCGCCCCGGGGGTCATTAGTTTTCCTTATATGTATATAGTAAAAACTAATTTTCAAAAACTTTAAAAAAAATTCTATCAATTGACAAATGCTAGAGGTTAGATATTTTGCATGAAACGTTGTGTAGTGAACCTCTAGCAAGATTGTTCAAATTATAGCCCTTGGGTCAAAATTGCCCCCGCCCCGGGGATCATTGATTTTCAATATATACATATAGTATAAAATCTTATTGTCTGAAGGTACAAGGCTTAGAGCTTTTATATTTGTTAAATGATATCATCTATAGGTACTCTACCAAAGTTGTTCAAATTTTGCCTCTAGTGTCAAAATAAGCCCCGCCCCGGGGGGCATAGGTTTTTATTATATGTATATAGTAAAAACTTAAAAAATCATCTTATCTAAATTTACAAAGGCTAGAGTTAAGATATTTTGCATGAAACATTGTGTAGTAAACCTCTAGCAAGATTGTAAAAATTATGACCCTGGGGTCAAGATTGGCCCCACCCCAGGGGTCATAGATTTTCACTATGTACATATAGTAATAAAAAAACTTCTTGTCTGAAGGAACAAGGCTTAGAGCTTTGATATTTGGTATATAATATCATCTATGGGTCCTCTACTGATGTTTTTTTAAATATGCCCCTAGTGTTAAAATTGCCCTGCCCCAGAGGTGATAGTTTTCCTTATATCTATAAAGTAAAAACTTGAAAACTTCTTCTCTGAAATGACAAAGGCTAGAGATTAAATATGTGGCATAAGACTTTGCGAAGTGAACCTCTACCAAGATTGTTCAAATTATGGCCCTGGGGTCAAAATTGGTTCCACCCCGGGGATCATTGATTTTAATCATGTACATATAGTAAAAAAAAATAAAAAATATTTTTGTCTGAAGGTACAAGGCATAGAGCTTTGATGTTTTCTATATAATATCATCTATAGGTCCTCTACCAATGTTGTTCAAATTTTTCCCTTGGTGTCAAATTTGGCCCTGCCCGGGGGCAATGATTCTCATTATGTACACATAGTAAAAACAGAAAATAAAACAAATGTTTTTTGAATGGGAGAAAGCTACAGCTTTGATATTTGACTTGAAATGTTGTTTGGTGGACCTGTATCAAGATTGTTTAGAATTAAACCCTTGGGTCAAAATTTTGCCTTGCCCAAGGGGAAAGTGACCTACTTTCTTGTCCTTTGATGTACAGCAATGAAATTTTGACCATGTGCACAGTTTCAGTTTTAAAATTGAACTTTAATGTCAGGTGACCTAGATTTTGATGATGTGACCTACTTTCTTGTCCTTTGATGTACAGCTTTGAAATTTAGGCTGTGTGAAATATGACCCTCACCACCAAATTCACCAGACTCAAATGTATTGATATATTCCTACTCTGATCTTTTATTGGATTAACAATAGATTTAACCACTAATCTGATAATAAGAATTAGATAGGTCAGGGATCTATGCATTATGACAATCTTCAATTGTAAAGAAACAAAAAATATCTATTCCTACACTACTATTTAGTGTTGTATTAATGCGGTGGCATAGCATTTTTCTCAAATGCAATCTTGTTTTACAACAGTCATTTTATGTTGCCACTCTGTATATTCGAATGTGCATGACAGAATCTTTATCTCCATATACATTTTATAAAAGGCTATCATCAAACCCTTATAATTGATGACTTTAAGAAAATATCAAGTCATTGTCTCTGTAATGAATTTGGTACCAATTCAGTAACTTTCCGGAAAACTTAACCTTTTAAAGTCAATACAACAAAACCTGATCTTGACATCGTCATGGCATTCGATTCAATGCGATATTTTGCTTGATTCTTATTATTATTAAATAATACTTGGATAATTATGATGCGAATGTCCCCATGTTTTATCACTTCACTGTGACCAGACCGTAAACGTGGAGAGTTAAACGGAATTCTCGATAAAGGAATTAATGACGTTTATCTGGTAAAAATTGCAGATTTTTTATTCATCGCGGGGCCTCTGTTGCCGAGTGATAACGGTCGCCGTCTTCAAAATTCTTGCCCGTCAGCACTGAGTGTGTGAATTCCGGGTTGGACTTTGGTTTCATTCATGTAAGGATGCAATCAGGATAGCTTACGGGCAGTCAGTTGTTCTACTAAGTACCTTCACATGTGATGACTTGACTTAAAATACATCCTGAAAGCAAAAACAAACAAAAAACAAAACAAAAAAAAAGAAACTTGCATTTGTCGCATACTTGCATATGAGTTTGATATGTAACAGTACCTGACTGTATATCGCATTTACATGCTGCAAGACAATGAGCAAAGTGCTTTATTTATTTATGGTCAGCTTAAACATCAAAACTTTGTATTGACAAAATAATGTATGTTTTCAATGTTTAAAAATAATAATTCTACAAACATACTTTTTTAAATTAATGTATTGATTTACTTTATAAAACAAAGAAAGATTTTTAAGTTTCAAACAGACATTTTATAATAGTTATTTACATATTATTTCTGTCGTATACATCTGATAACCTCATGTTCATCATTAAAATGTCGTTTTGCGCTCACAAAGGGATATGAAAACAAAGTAATGTTATACTTCACGTACCACTTTATGTGCACATTATCAAACGTATAATGCTGAAATTCGGTCTCCGTGAAACCGGATTTAAGAAAACATTGCCATATATGGTTATATCAAACGGTACACTAAACATTCCTGTAATAAAAGTATACAGTTCATTTACATCTGATAAACAAATGTCTTTAGCAGACGATTCAACTACGATTTGTTGATATGACATTACTTTCTTTTATCATAATATCATTTAGTTCACTCTGTGAATGAATTAATTAAATGAGATGCCGTCTTTGTTAGTTCATATTCATTGTCAGATTAAAAAATAAAATAGATGCCGTTTTTTATGTTAAAGATTTTTTTAGTATACGTTCTTATAGATAACGAATGTGATAGTTATATTATTATTATGATGATAATAAAAAAGGTGATTATATAGGTGATGAGTAAATTATTTGATAGTGATGATACAAGTGAATATGATTTTTTCATGGTGACGTACCTGATTAGATGAAGGTGTTGATGATTAGTATAGGTAATGCAGATTATATGAAATGGTGATCATGTTTTTTATATTGATAGACTTGTTGATGATTTTGATGGTAATGGTGATTATGATGATGATCGTGATGAAGGATATAAATATTTAATGAAAAAACTGATGAAAAATATAAATAAGGGGAAAACATTTATCCTTAATTATTTATATTTAATATAATAAACGTCTGATATTGCCAAAAAGTATTATCCTTTCAGGTACCATTTAAAAAATTAACTTATATGAATTATTATAGCAGTCATGGATATTCGATCAAAGCAAGTCATTAACTTTGATGACGGTTATATACTTTGTAATTAGAATATGTTTTTTGCTAAAATTTGATGTTGTTGCCTTAGAATGTAACCGTGCAGTACGATACAATTGCATTGAAGTTGGACCTAAAAATAAACAAGATCATTTTCTTTTCATAAGATCCTATAAATTGTCAGAAGACGAGGTAAATAAATAAATAGAAATGCGACCCAAAGAACATTTCATTTAAAAATTTCATTTGTTCAACGTTATTGAAGATTTAATGTCTAAAATAAAACCAAACTATTAATTAAAACAATAATGTACTGAAAAACAAAGTTCTTTTCCGGCCTTGTTTATTTTCAAAAGTTTTACTGACCAAATAAAAGAAATGAGAACATTAGCATGATCATACATTTTAAACAAATAAGTAAATTTGATACATTTTTAGAATATGTTCAACAAATATATGTCGTACCGCAAGCTTAACACGTTATTTCATTTCTCACAGGATAATTTGTCACATTCTTTTATGCTGTCAAACCAGTGAATTAAGGTCATCCAAAGGATATACCGAACATGGACTTTATATAGAAGTGATTTTTATTCGGAGTCTACTCTTTTGTATTTTTATCAATGAAATTTTCTCAAGGAAAGTTTTTTATTTAAAGATAGGTTTTTATTCGGTGATGGTCTTTTAACGCAGGTTTGACTGTGTTTAAAATATAGATGGATAAAAAATCAGCCGTGTGCATACATTCTTTGCATGTTTTTTTTTAAACCAAACAGAAATATGATATTCGTCTATCCAAATACATGTATCTATTATAAATAGACCATTTAATATTGCTTTAAGGTATGTATGAGTTGTTGAATTTTCATTGGCTAACAGGCAAGCGGCTTTTCAACCGAATTGCGAATATGATAGCGTTGAAACTAATGGTATAACTATTTACATTCAAGCAAAAAAGGCAATATATTGTACTTATTTCTTAAGGACATGATTGTTAAAAAGTTTCTGTGATCGAATTTGATATTGTGATTTCATATAAACATTTGATATGAAAACATTTTAAACACAATTTCGGTACCACTTGATTCATACCAACTTGAATGGACTAAAACAGAAACTTTATTGTAAGTTATACATCATTCGTTTATCTTTTTGTATCAGAGAAATGATGAAGTCTTTTTCTATGTGTAGCCTACAGTAATTTTACCTATTTAAGCAGACATCATCTTTTTCGTTGAATAAAAGATGTCTTGTTTTGATTTTTTTTTACAAAATGTAATGCTAGAAATATACTTAGCAGACGAACATTATTATGAACGTGCATACGGCTGGATTTAGTTGTTAATCTATTGTATGGTGACCGGTTTCGGCCATTTCAAACACGTGAGAAATTTTATCGTGTTTTCATAAAATGTCGCGCGCGCAACTTACAGACACTCTAGATTTTCTGCCGAAATCGTACAAAATGTCCGCGGGGAACATACAAACCTCGAAGAAAAGTTGTTAGAAAGAGCAAGGAATATATTGACTCCAGTGGCAGGTACCGTCCATGGTTTCATAACATTTTATTCCGCGTTTGTATATTGTAAGTTGAGCAACAGAAAGAAATCCACGACATATTTTGCAAGTTTTGTAGAAATCTATAAAAAAGCCGAGTAGAAACATGATAGGCCACGACTTTTTCTTCTTCAATAACGGTGTCATAAGATATCGCGGCGAGTAATTGGAATTTTTAGCAAAAGACATATATCGGCATATAAAGGCGAGGCTTAGTGCTCACAAGGTATGCATCAAAACATAATATTGCAGATTATAATGACTGCAATCAGCGTGTGACAGAAAAACTCGAGGGTTCAATAGCCGAGACATTTTAATCTTTCGACCTTAAATTTGCCCTTTACATTTTATAAACTGACGGTAAGAAATTCTCGCAACTTTTAAATGGCCGCTTCCGGCCTCCATATTTTAGGGAGTATCTCGTTTCTTTATCTATATAACATTCACTTGAAGGCCATTTTTTTGTTACTTGACATATTTTATTTTCGTGCTGTAAATGGACATAACTTTGTAAACAATAAATGCAATGTCTTTATATTTGGATGCAACACTCCTCAGGAAAAAACATTAAAGAACATTTAATTGAACTTCACCTTAATTTGACCTTTACACTTAAGGTCGTATAAGTAACTTTTGCAACAATTGGCCATATCGTTTTTTGGCTCACCAGAGCACAAATTGTTTAAGGTGAGCTTTTGTGATAACAATAGGTCCGGTGTCTATCGTCCGTCAGTGCGTCAGTTCTTCCGTCGTCACTTATTTTACAAATGACTTCTTTCCAAAACCCACTGGGTCAAATTTGATATTATTTTCTTCGGATGTTGATAGCTTAAAGCTATACTACAATTGTTCAAATGGTTATGTTCCATTAAATATATAGATCAAAAGGGCTGAAAATTAATTTTCCAGATTTTTGTTTGTTTGTTTTGGGTTTTACGTCACATCGACACAGTATAGGTCATATCGCGTCGTTCCAGCTTTACTGGTGGAGGAAGACCTCAGGTGCCCTTCCGTGCATTATTTCAGGCACGAACGGGCACCTAAGGGATTCGAACCCACAGCGGTGAGGGGCAAGTGATTTAAAGTCAACGACCTTAACAACTCGGCCATGGACGCCCCTGATTTTTCAGATGAAATCTTGAATAATGCTCTATGTAAGTGCAAGCCTAGAGCTTAGATGAATTGTTGGTAGCTCATCTAATAAAACTCTACAAAAACTAAATTATAATATTGGGGTCAAACCTTGCCTCGCTCAAGGAGGTCATTGACTTTCCGTATATGTATAAAGTAAAAACTTAAAAAATCTTCTCCTCTGAATTGACAAAATTTAGATGTTTCCCGTGAAACATAAGAGCCCTGTGGTCAAAATTGCCACGCCCCTGGGTCATAAGTTTTCATTATGTACACAAAATTAAAAATTAAAAAAATCTTCTTCTCTGAATGTGTGATGTCTAGAGCTTAGATATTTTTGTGTAGCAACGTGTAAAGAAATCTATTAAAAAATCAATTTTAGCTCTTGACTCAAAATTGGCCTTGCCCCAGAGGGTCATTGATTTTCCTTTTATGTATATAGTAAAAACTTAAAAATCTCCTCTGAATTGACAAAGACTAGAGATAAGGTATCTGGCATGAAACATTGTGGAGTATACCATTACAAAGATTGTACAAAATTTAGCCCTGGGGTCAAAATTGGCCCGGTCCCGAGGGTTATTGATTTTCTTTATGTACATATTGTAAATACTTAAACAATTTTCTTTACTGAGGATACAAGGCTAGGAGCTTTGATATTGGTAAATGATATCTTCCATTGGTCCTCTAACAAAGGTCACACAGCCTAACTATGGACAAACATTGTTAACACTCTGGAGGCTATTGTTCAAAAGCTATTGGTCAAAAATATGTAGGGCATTCGTTGCCAAAATTCCAGACATGTAATTGGTTCCTTTTGAAAACTTCGATTGAAATTGCGAACGTGTAAGTCTAGCATATTTGATTGTATTCGTGCAAAGCAATTTATATGTCTCTGAATCCAATCTTTTAATTGAAGGCACCCGCTTTTAAATAACATGTTTACATGTAGATCATAACAATATACTAAACATGGAAAACAACAACAAATGTACAAGTTCGTATCTTCCATTGCAAATAATACACAAGCAAGTTTGCACATTTATAGTTATCTATCTGTACCTGAAATGTACAACTGAAACGAAAAACTCGACTACAGAAAATAGAGTTTAAGAAACGTGTTTCGAGTTGTAGATCTACAAAAGAAATTTTACACAGCAACATGTTTAGAATGACAAAAGTAGATTTACAAAGTTAAACGATTTTAAGTTATGCATGACGCCCGCCCCTCTTTTAGTATTTATGAATTTCTGTTACGGAAATGTTTGACAGGTATAAAACCCGGCGCCTTCTCAATACAATGAAGGAAAACACGGCGTCCCTCGTAACTTTTTTTATTAAAAAAATGGTATTAAATGAAAGATAACTTCTTAAACTTTCAATGAATGCCTCACAAATAAAGATGAATCAAATAGATGTATTACAATTTTTGGGTCAAAATTTATCGTATTTTCCTCTGTAAATCACACTCTCATATTCGATATGAAAAACACTGCGTCCCCTCCAAACTTCTTTTTTTAATTTTTTAATCAATTTTGTTAATTTTGGTTGAAATAAAAGAGTTCGTCATAAGTTTTATAGTCTATAATTATGTAATGCCTAAATATAAAAATGAATTAAGGAGAAGTATTAAAATTTTCGTTTCAAAGTTTATCATATTACTTTCTGAAAACCACACAGTCTGAAATTCAATTAAAAAAAACACGGCGCGCCCTACTTATTTTTTTAATTCTTTACCAATTATAATAATTTTTGTGTCAAATGAAGGAATCCTTCATGAACATTTTAGTGATGCCTTAAATATAAAAAATAATAATTATGTAGAAGTATTTTCATATACTTGGCAAGAAATCACATTTATAAATTAATCAATTTCAAAATAGAAAATGAATATAGAATGAAAGTTAAAACGTATATTAAAAAAATATCTAATTCATACTGAAAAAATATCTTATCAAACATTTGCCCATATGTGTTACGATAAGTACTTTCTCGATTTCGGAAAGGAAATCTCGGTGGCCGCTATAAATTTTTTTTTTCAAATACTCGTATAGATTTTGTTTAAAATGAAATTTGTGCCTATACATTTTTTCAATGATACCAATACAAATGTTGGCTGGTTTTTAGATTATGAATGAAATTACTCGCTTGAAGTTGGTCTTTTTTCCCCTAAAGATTTCCAAATCGCCGATGTTTCTCAGGAAAACACGAGGTACAATAGTAAGTTAGTGCATAATATCTTAATCATTTTGTATAAAAAATTGGTAAAATTAGAAATTTATAGGTGATGTAGCTAGTGATAAAACTTTTGTAACAAATGCATCAAAAAATATGTAAGAGAGGATGGGATGTGTTTTTCTTCAGTTTCATTAAAAATAGGGGAAAGGCGTCGGGTTTTATACCTGTCCGCAATAGAACTTCGTAAATACTCAAGGAGGGGCGGAGCGTCATGCATGACTCAAAATCGTTTAACTTTGTGAATTTACTTTTGTCATTTTAGACATGTTACTGTGTAAGCGTACTCTTGTAGATCTACATCTCGAAACACGTTTTCTTAAACTCTATTTTCTGTTTTCCGAGTTTCATTTCAATTGTAAATTTCAGGTACAGATAGAAAGAGTGAAAACTTGCTTATGTTTTATATGCAAAGGAAGATACGTACTTGTTAATTTGTTGTTGTTTTCCATGTTCATTCAGTTGTTAAGATCCACACGTAAATTTGTTATATTAAAGCGGGTGCCTTCAATTAAAAGATTGGATTCAGAGACATATAAATTGCTTTGCACGAATACAATTAAAGATGCTAGACTTACACGTTCGCATTTTCAAAAGAAGTTTTCAAAAGGAACCCATAACATGTCTGGAATTTTGGCAACGAACGCCCTCCATGCAAATATCTTAGAAATTGGTCGAAAAAGTTGTTTATATGATTTCTAGCTCCTGTTTGAATATTGGTCATCTGGGGTCAATGGTAGGTCCAAATATTGAAAAAAACTCGTTCACACTTTAGAGGATACTGTCCAAATATTCTTGAATTTGGTCAAAATGTTTGTTTTGGTGATTTCTAGCTCAATTTTTGAATACGGTTCATTTATAAGCAAAAACTAGGTCACACAACACAAATATTGGAAAGCCTTGTTTACACTCTTGGGGCAACTGTCTCAGCCTAAATACCCTTAAAATTGGTCACAAAAATTGTTTTTGATGATTTCTAGCACAAGCTCAAATATTTGTCATCTGGCGTCAAAAAATAGGTCACAAAGCCCAAATATGGAAAAAGAATTGTTAACACTCTAGAGGCTACTACTTTGGTCCAAATATCCTGGTAATTGGCCGAAACGTTTTGATTATTTCTAGCTCTAGTTCTAATATGGTTTATCCTTGGTCAAAAACTAGGTCACAAAGTCAATATATAGGAGAACTTTGTAAACACTGTAAAGGCTACTGTTTCTGTTCAGATATCCTGGTAATAAGTCATAAACGTTGTTTAGATGGTTCTAGGTCATGTTCGAATATGGGTCATCTGGTTTCAAAAAACAAGCTACACAGCAAATAATAGAAAAATCTTGTTTACATTCTAGAGGTAATATTTTCAGCATAAATGTCCTGAAAAAAATTGTCAGAACGATGTTTTGATGATCTCTAGCTCATCCATGGTAGATATTTAGCTCACACTGACAAAAAATGTAAAATCTTTGTTATCATTCTAGAGGTTTCATCTTTAGCCCAAATGTCCTGGACTTTGGATAGAAAGATCGTTTGTACATTTGCACTATATCAGGTGCAAATATGAATGTTTAAATATGAATATCAGTTTACTATTCTTGCTAACAAAATTAATTCATAGCCTTAATACTCAGAAGAGCGATATAAAGGCGATCGTGTCCCTCTTTTAATGGGTTTGATTCTATTTGAGAGAAGAACACTTATGATAAAACATACTTTGTTAGTAAGTTAAATGTAACCTTGCACTTTTAAATGACCTTGACAATCAAGGTCAAATATTTAAATAGCTTAGAGTGTCATAAACTAATTATCTTTTAACGTATTTGAATTGTACTTGGACAATAACCCTTCTGACAAAACCGTATGTTTAATTCTTCAGGTTTACCTTTGTCTTTTATTTGACCGTCAAGGTCAGGTTATTGAAATGTGCTTAGATTGTCATAAAACTTTGTTATTTATTGACGGATTTGAATAATACATTGATGAAATTACAAATATGACAAAACCGTCATGTTGAATTATTCTGATTTGACTTTGACCTTTAATTGACATTCACAGTTAATGTCAAATTATTGTTTTTTAACCTCACCAGAGCCGAAGGCTCAGGGTGAGCTATTAGTCCGTCGTCATGCGTCAACAATCGTCTTCTTCTTTCATTTTAGGGGTCAGGTGAGTTAAAAATAGATAAACCTTTAAACATCTTCTTCTACAGAACTAATGGATGAGCGATCACCAAACTTTGTCTGTAGCATTCTTGGGTAGTCTTTTATCAAGTTTGCTCATATTAATTTGCTTTTAGGGGCCGCTAAAGCTAAAAATAGAAAAACCTTTAAACATCTTCTTCTACAGAACTAATGGATTGAAGATCACAAAACTTTGTCTATAGCATTCTTGGGTAGTCTTTTATCAAGTTTGCTCATATAAATTTGATTGGTCCCTTTTAGGGGCCGCTAAAGCTAAAAATAGAAAAACCTTTAAACGTCTATTTCTACAGAACTAATTGATGGATGATCACCAAACTAGCATTCTTAAGTAGTCTTCTATCAAGTTTGCTCATATTAATTTGATTAGCCCCGTTTAAGCTAAAGCTTAAATACCCCAGGTCATGGCATTTCTTCAAATTATTTTTATGCCCCCACAATGTGGGAGCATATAGCGTTGCACTTGTCCGTCCGTCCGTCAGTCAGTCCGTCCGTCAGTCAGTCCGTCAGTCCGTCCGTACGTCCCGAAATCTTGTGAACGCAACTCCTCTTAAACCGGATGGCAGATTTTGCTTAAACTTACAGGGATGAACAACCTTAATGTGTAGATGGTAGTAAAGGAAGGAATTTTTGCTGCGACCAAATTTAACAGAATAATGGCCCTTTGTTGATTTTTTCACTAGATACTATTTAGAAATTTTGTGAACGCAACTCCTCTTAAACCGGATGGCAGATTTTGCTTAAACTTACAGGGATGAACAACCTTAATGTGTAGATGGTAGTAAAGGAAGGAATTTTTGCTGCGACCAAATTTAACAGATTTATGGCCCTTTGTTGATTTTTTCACTATATACTATGTAGAAATTTTGTGAACGCAACTCCTCTTAAACCGGATGGCAGATTTTGCTTAAACTTACAGGGATGAACAACCTTCAAGTGTAGATGGTAGTAAAGGAAGGAATTTTTGCTGCGACCAAATTTAACAGAATTATGGCCCTTTGTTGATTTTTTCACTATATACTATGTAGAAATTTTGCGAATGCAACTCCTCTTAAACCGGATGGCAGATTTTGCTTAAACCTCCAGGGATGAACAACCTTAATGTGTAGATGGTAGTAAAGAAAGGAATTTTTGTTGCAACCAAATTTAACAGAATTATGGCCTTTTTTTATTTTTTCATTATTTACTATGTAGAAATTTTGTGAATGCAACTCCTCTTAAACCGGATGGCATATTTTGCTTAAACTTCCAGGGATTAACAACCTTAATGTGTAGATGGTAGTAAAGGAAGGAATTTTTGCTGCGACCAAATTTAACAGAATTATGGCCCTTTGTTGTTTTTTAGTTTTCAACTTGTGGCACATGTAGTCCAAAAAATATTTGACCTAGAGTCATAAGATTGACAGAACAGTGGCGTGTGGGGGCATCCGTGTCCTATGGACACATTTCTAGTTTAAACATATTCTATGCTTAAATTTAATATTAGAATATATTGACATACCAACACTGAAAAACAGTTGTTTCTGGTGAGCGACTCAGTGCCATCATGGCCCTCTTGTTTAAATTGGTATACTTTGACAGTTATTTATGGTTTGGAAAAAACAGCACGTATGCTAAAATTGACATGATCAAATCATCTAACATATAGGCTTTTTTTTAATTTAGCATAGGAAGAAATAAGGTTAATGAATGTTTAAGCTTAAGTTTTCGATTTTCAATATTAACAGGAGACTTCTCTTTTTGGCTGTTTCTTGTTCGATCAATGTTTTACTATATCCTTATGTTTTCTTCGGAGTTGTGTACCATATGAATAGCCTCTTGTTGGTCGAAAATATGAACATGCCGAACGTACATATAAGTCTCTTCTTAAGTAGATATCATCTTTTCGTTTCTTATTAAAGTTAATTAGTAAGATCTGGATTATCTCATATAAGGTTATCTCACATAAGGTTGTTAACTCACATGCTTCACTCGATTCGAGACACTTATGATATGGCCATCAGTTGGATAGATCCCGTTTCTACACAGATGTTAATGTTCGTCCGTCATACTGATTAAAAATGTTTACATGATTTTTTTTATTATTTCACAGCGATGGCGGAAAAACAAGATAACAGCGCAACAAGTAAATTAAAAGACTCCAAAGATCATATAGATGTCGAAATTCTCGGATATTTCATTGAACTTTGTATGGTTTCATTGGGTGGCGCACCAAATATTACAACAGATTTTACGGTTGTGAAGAAAATTTTTGAGGATGTCTTTCAATTGTACTTTGAATTCAGATTAGTTGGAAGTACTGTAGATCGCCTTTATTTGCCAAAATGGCTGAATCCTAAAAGTAGCGAAGATTATATGTACGGTTTTAATACAGACATTGATACTTTGTTTATTCCTACCTCTGTATATGTAAGTAACGACTACTCAGATGGTCCTTTGGATGTGGCAGTCATTCAGCCAACAGATTTTGGGACCTTCGTTAAGCTTCAATATAACGACAAATGTCAGTATCGTCTTCCGTCCGCCATGATATCCGACGATGGTTATATATCAAGTAAAAAGGTGTTAGAAGAAATTCTCCATCACATGGATAAGAATAAAGTTCATATTGTTGGACCATCTCTTCAAACACAAAATCATGGCGTTTCAGGTCATTTGGCTATCACATCATCTGACAGGGTTTTCGCATTTAAAAATAAAAAATGGCCAAAATTAGCAGACGAGTGGTTGCATAGAGAAAGATCAAACAATTGGCCATCAGTAAGTATCATAGAAGAAATATCATCACTTTGTAGTCATGTGGTTCCTAAGGGCAACCCACTTACTCTGGAACAGGATCTTACATGGCGTATTTCTTTCAACATGGCAGAAAGATACATGGCGGACATGATGACCCTGGAACAGAAGAAGTGCATTGTAGCATTAAAATCTTTGATAAAACGGTCCAATATTGAAGTTATTTCTTCATATCATATAAAATCAACCATGTGGTGGATGGTCGAACAAGGTGACAGCTCTGTCTGGAAGAGAAATGTTGGATATTGTTTTTTAGAATTCATTGACGAATTGATCAGGGCGATTGATAAAGGGGTTATCCGGAATTACTTTATGCCGAATTGTAACATGATTCAGGCGGCTTCTAGTGATGAATTGCAAAAAGCTCTAGATTGTCTTCAATCTATACGTAAAAGGCCTTTATTTTTCCTAACAACTTGTCCCCAACTGACTGAACTGCATGACATCTCTGATTTGGAGTCTAAAAATAAATTTAATTTTGCAATTCTGAAAGATGAAGTCAAGAACTTCAAGGGCGATAGTGGATCTAAAACTCGTTTACTGGAAACATTTTGTGTTTACTTTTACAATTATGGAAGAGCTTTACTGCGCACACCGGAAACTAGAGAAAACGGATTTAAGCTCTTGGAAAATGCAGCTTGCATTTCAAACGTAGATCGAGAGGACTTTATTGAGGATTATTTATTCAAAGCAATGCACGAAATAACAAATGATTTCGAGTTCTATTTTGCTGCATTAACAATAAGAATCCCAATAGAAAGAATTATTGAAAAGTTTCGATTAAATTATTCAGACGATCTTATTTCAACATTCTTTCATGATGCCGGTTGCACGTTCAATTTTTGGGCAAACATCAGTTACAAAAATCACACAAGAATTTCGGACTTGGAAAGAGCCAACTTATGCTTTAAAACTTCTATACGATTATGCACAACAGATCCTTGCGTTTGCGGCCAATATGCATATTTTCTTCTGAATTTAAAATATTACAACGATGCCCTTAGTTATGCCGAGGACTGTCTTCGAAAAACTGAAGGTCAAAAAGAATTCCAATACTTATTTTACTCAAAAATGTTTAGTGAAATTCTAGATGCAAGACTAATGGAACACGTGCGGAAAGATCCAAATCACGTTCTCACCGTCCCATGTGACGTCATTGCTCATCATGTGATTATTTTAGCCAATAAGATGGCCAGAAATGAAAATCAAGCATTTTCGCGAATCGGCAAATATTACGACATATGTCTTGACGAGAGAAACGATCATAAATATGATTCCTTAGTTGTGTATGGTTATTCCTGTATGGAAGTGAATTTGTACGACGAGGCAATAAAAGGGTTTGAAAAAGCAGTAGAAATATCACGGAATGAGGTCATTTTGGATAACATTGAAACTTGTAGAATTGCAAAAAAGAACATGAAGTGAGCGTGGTAAATTTATAACAATAATATTGAAAGCAATCAAGTTACAGACCCGTCCACAGGCAGTAAACTAACTGGCGGCTTTAAATCGTTTGCCGCAATATACATGATATTAATGTTGTCATAGAATTGATGTCTTTTTATGTTATCTTTGTAAACATAACCGCTTAATTAAGGATGTTTGAAAGTTAAAAGGTGTTTAAATTGATACTAATATTAGAGAAAAAATTAAAATCACAAAAATATCTAAAATGTCGAAAGGTTATTGATCTCTTTATGTGATAGTTTAGGTTAAGTTATAATTTGAAGGGAAAAGGCCTTTTCTGACTTTTACATACATGTTAAACATAATTGTTTACGACAATATTAATAGAAATTCATTAAAACTGCGTTTAATAGTTTTAAAGAACTTATAAGAAATAAAAAGGTTTTGCGCGATAAACAAAACAACAAAACAAATAAACAAAAAATAAACTAAACTATTTGATAGAAAGTAGAGGCTCCCAGGAGCCTGAATCGCCCACCTGATCTCCACAGCTTCTTACTTACAAATGTTATATGGTGTGTTACATAAAAAAATCTTGTAAAAAATATTGCATAGCTTCCTGCAATATGATAATAGGTGTAAAGCATATATTTTCTGAAAGTAAAAGATTAAATAAAAAGGATTTAAAATGGAAACTAAAAAGAAATATTATCTTTAAATGCACTAATGCATTCCAGTCTTTGAAAATTCATACCATGCAAAAAAGCTGCTGTCAGACTTAATCATATCGAAATATCACCATATAAAAACAATATTCCGAGTTTCATTTTGGACCACCTAAAATGTCATTTCCTTAAACATTTGGTAAACTATGGAAGTAAAGCAACGCCAAAGGAACACCTGAATCTCATAGAATGGAAATCTCAGAATGATACTATATAACTAACACTGTTGTGACAGACCTGTTATGATTGGGGCCTATGGCATGGCTGCTAACGCTTGCTGAAATTCGGCATAGTCTGTCTGCACCAACAATTAGAGCAAAATTCTTTCCAGTAAAATATAAAATTCATAAACTGAGATTTACCTTGTAACGAAGAAATTGTCTTACTTATATCTTCATTTTTAATATATAAAATTTAAACACAAAATCATGCTGAAACTCCAAGAAAAGTCATTTTAGCGTGATTTGAGTACATTAGATCATTTTAATATTTTTGTGATTTTTTTTTTTTGCCTGAATATTTAAAGACTAGAAATTATATTTCAGTTAAATAAGGACACATACCTTTCAAAATGAGAGAAAACAAATAACTGTAAAAATGAGATGCCCGACAATACTGTACATAATCTCTTAAGGTATGGGTCTTAACCAAGAACTTACAAACATAAAGTTATTTATAGGCTTTTATAAGCTTTTAAAAAATAGGATTATCAAGGAAAAGAAAATTAAGAAAAGATAAGCAAATTAATTACCTTTCATTGAAAAGATTTGTAACTCAATTTTGATTTTGGGAAATACAATTAAAACGTATTGAGTGAGTTGGTCTTGTCAACGTTCTTTTAGTTGATGCTTTTGTTTTGAAAATATCGATTGTTTTGTTTTAAGTTGTTTTCTTATGCTAATTAAAGTTTGTGAAGTTAATATATTTGATTGAATGTTTGTGTATCTTAAAATTGTAAAAGGATTCAGTTTCTTTGTTGTATTTTGTTGCGATTGTATAATGTTAACTAAACAATTACTTGCTAGTTATTCAACTAAGAATATTTCAATTATAAGTCAAGTGGTGCTGCTCTGCCTCCATATCTTGGAAATTGGTTAAAGTTTTAATACTTAATCTTTCCTGAGATTAAATAACATCAAAGCTAGTCATTCTCCTGATAATACCTATATCCATTTTCAAAGGTTAAGTTGTTTTCGTAATGTAACATATAAAGCCTTACTTTTATCTATAAGTGATTTAAAAGGCAAATCTTTAAGGATGTTAGATGTACTTCAAATCATAATAATTTTCTTTAGTTTTCTCTTTGTAACAAAGCACTGAAGTAAATGTGATCATGGGAACCAACTCATTGCCTTAAACATATTATGCATCGAGATTAAATAAATGAAAAGGATCAGCTGAAGAAATTACCAGCTGACAGGCATATCTGATGTAAACAAGATATGTTTGTAAAACATGTATGCCCCCTATCGGCAGCCAATTTGTCATGTGATCAGGTTATTATGCATGACTTCTGACCCAGTGAACAAGCAATTAATAAGGGTTATCTAGTATCTACTGGTCATGACTAGTCACAAGGTAATAATTATTGTGACCCCATAGGTTGTGTGCAGCAATTAAAGTTATTAAAAATCTTACCAAATAATATTTACATAAATTTTATGAATCACATAGGCCTCATTAATGACAGCCAAGTTGTTATATTACATAAGACCTTCAAATGTGTATACCAAAAGCACATAAAAATATCAACCAAGGCAACTTGAGTTGTTGAGTTATTGGTCATAAACGGTCATTAAGTACAAGGTCACTATGACATTGACCCCTTGACCCCAAAATCAATAGGGGTCATCTACTTGTCATGACCAATCATCATACCAAGTTTGAAGTTCCTAGGCCTAAGGGTTCTTTAGTTATTGATCGGTTACCGTTTTTACCTACAAGGTCAATGTGACCTTGACCTTTGACCCCTTAACCCCTAAATCAATAGGGGTCATCTGCTGGTCATGACCAATCATCATATCAAGTTTGAAGTTCCTAGGCCTAAGCGTTCTTTAGTTATTGATCGGAAACTGTTTTTACCTACAAGGTCAATGTGACCTTGACCTTTTACCCCTTGACCCCAAAATCAATAGGGGTCATCTGCTGGTCATGATCAATAATCAAACCAAGTTTGAAGTACCTAGGTCTAAGTCTTTTTTAGTTATTGATCGGAAACCGTTTTTACCTAAAAGGTCAATGTGACCTTGACCTTTAACCCCTAAATCAATAGGGGTCATCTGCTGGTCATGACCAATCATCATACCAAGTTTGAAATTCCTAAGCCTAAGCGTTCTTTAGTTATTGATCAGAAACCGTTTTTACCTACAAGGTCAATGTGACCTTGACCTTTGACCCCTTGACCCCAAAATCAATAGGGGTCATCTGCTGGTCATGACCAATCATCTTACCAAGTTTGAAGTCTCTAGGCCTTAGGGTTCTTTAGTAATTGATTGAAAACCGTTTTTACCTACAAGGTCAATGTGACCTTGACCTTTGACCCCTTGACCCCAATATCAATAGGGGTCATCTGCTGGTCATGACCAATCATCTTACCAAGTTTGAAGTCTCTAGGCGTAAGGGTTCTTAAGTAATTGATTGGAAACCGTTTTTACCAACAAGGTCAGTGTGACCTTGACCTTTGACCCCTTGTCCCCAATATCAATAGGGGTCATCTGCTGGTCATGACCAATCATCTTACCAAGTTTGAAGTCTCTAGGCCTAAGGGTTATTTAGTTATTGATCGGAAACCGTTTTTACCTACAAGGTAAATGTGACCTTGACCTTTGACCCCTTGACCCCAATATCAATAGGGGTCATCTACTGGTCATGACCAATCATCTTACCAAGTTTGAAGTCACTAGGCCTAAGGGTTCTTTAGTTATTGATCGGAAACCGTTTTTACCTACAAGGTCAATGTGACCTTGACCTTTGACCCATTAACCCCTAAATCAATAGGGGTCATCTAATGACTAATCATCATACCTAGTTTAAAGTTCCTAGGTCTAAGCGTTCTTTAGTTATTGATCGGAAACCGTTTTTGCCTACAAGGTCAATGTGACCTTAACCTTTGACCCCTTGACCCCAAAATCAATAGGGGTCATCTGCTGGTCATGACCAATCACCATACCAAGTTTGAAGTTCCTAGGCTTGAGGGTTCTTTAGTTATTGATCGGAAACTGTTTTTACCTACAAGGTCAATGTGACCTTGACCTTTGACCCCTTGACCCTAAAATCAATAGGGGTCATCTGCTGGTCATGACCAATCACCATATCAAGTTTGAAGATCCTAGGCCTAAGCGTTCTTTAGTTATTGATCGGAAACCGTTTTAACATACAAGGTCAATGTGACCTTGACCTTTGACCCCTTGACCCAAAAATCAATAGGGGTCATCTACTGGTCATGACCAATCACCATACCAAGTTTGAAGTTCCTAGGCCTTAGGGTTCTTTAGTTATCACTCGGAAACCATTTGGTCTACGGACCGACGGACGGGACGGACCGACAAGTGCAAAGCACTATACCCCCTCTTCTTCGGAGTGGGGGCATAGTAATTCCTGATAAATGTGAAATATATACTGAGAAGTGAACGCATAAAACGAACATTTAGACATAAACAGGGAAGACACGGAGCACTTTCTTGTCACAGGACGTCACGTTGTACATATATAGTGACGAGAGCAGCATCAAAACCCACTTGGCATTATAACTGAATTCTTTTTATATAGTATTGACATCATAACACCTAGTATAATAAGGTTATTTAATAGGATATTTACCTCTGGTGAGTTCCCACCAGCTTGGTGTGAATCAATCATCGTAACAATACATAAGGAAGGTGATGTAAATAATGTCGGAAATTATAGAGGAATTTCTCTTCAAAACGTTATAAGCAAACTACTCTGTTGTATCCTTGTTAACAGACTCAATTTCTTTGCACAAATGATAAAGAAAATTTCTGACAATCAGTCAGGTTTAATGACTGATTGCTCAACGATAGATTACGCATTTATTTTAAAATAAATTCTTGATCGTATTTTAAGAAACAAAACACGAAAATTGTATGTTGCTTTTGTCGATTTCCGAAAGTGCTTTAACAATATTAATAGAATGCTTTTGCGGGATATATTGAAACAGAAAGGTATCAAAGGATATTTATTAAAATCACCCCAGAGTATGTATGAAGGTATTAAGGCATGTATACTTTGTAATGGCTCAAGAACTGATTATGTTCACAGTACTGTGAGCTTGAAGCAGGGCTGTTTGGCAAGTCCGATTTTGTTCTGTTTTTTTTATGCCCCTGCCATGTAATGGCCGGGGCATATAGTGTTACCCTGTTCCGTCATTCCGTCCTTCCGTCCTTCCATCCTTCCGTCATTCTGTCATTCAACTCAAACTTGACATATGGATATGTCATGAGAAAATACAGATCAAGTTCGAATTTAGTCATGGTTCGATGATTTTTTGCAGAGTTATGCCCCTTTTACTTTGAAAATAATATGAAATTTTCAGTTTCCGTTCATTATCTCCCCAATAGAACAAATTATTCAACTCAAACTTGACATATGGATATGTCATGAGAAAATACAGGTCAAGTTTGAATTTGGTCATGGTTCGATGATTTTTGGCCGAGTTATGCCCCTTTTACTTTGAAAACAATACAAAATTTTCAGTTTCCATTCATTATCTCCCCAAAGATACAACACATTCAACTCAAACTTCACATATGGATGCGTCAAAGGAATGCGCAGGTCAAGTTGGAATTTGGTCATGGTTTAATGATTTTTGGCAGAGTTATGCCCCTTTCACTTTGAAAGTAATATGAAATTTTCAGTTTCCGTTTATTATCTCCCCAATGGTACAACACATTCAACTCAAATTTGACATATGGATATGTTTTTGGAATGCCCAGGCCATGTTTGAATTTGGTCATGGTTCAATGATTTTTGGCAGAGTAATGCCCCTTTCACTTTGAAAATAATATGAAATTTACAGTTAGTGTTCATTATCTACCCAACAGTGTTACATATTCAACTTAAATTTGACATATGGGTATGTCAAAGGAATGGGCAGGTCAAGTTGGAATTTGGTCATGGTTTGATGATTTATTGGCATGGTTGTGTCCCTTTCACTTTGAAAATAATATAGATACATCTTAGGAATAAGCAGTTTAAGTTTGAATTTGGTCGTGGTTCAATGATTTTAGACAAACTTATCTTTCCTGAATGTTGGGAAAAATTTTGAACTTTCAGTTTCAGCACTCATACTATTAGCCATTATTTTGGCTACAAATATGCAATATGCTATTTTTAAAAGGTTAAGACTGAATAATTTCAGTGCCTTGAACATTGTATGAAAATGGTTTGTGTTAACATTGAAAAGTTTTAAGGGCTTTGAACTTAAAATGAAAAAAATTATTAATGCACCATCTGAAATTTTGGCTGCATGCGGGGGTATCCGTGGCGTGATGACACATTTCTAGTTTAATTGATGAACTGGAACAATTAATGTCTTAGAGTAATGTACCAGGCATACAGCTTCATCTTGATATACTACATTTATACGTGTTAATGTTTGCTGATGATGTAGCCTTATTGTCCGACACTGTTGTTGGTCTACAAAAACAATAAAACATTTTATCAAATCTTTGTACTGATTATAAGGACAAGGTAAACGAAGCAAAAACGAAAATCGTTGTTTTCAAGAATGGTGGCTTATTATCAAGACATTAAAAGTGCTTTGGCTGCCATTTTGTGCAGCGGCGCGGAACGTGCCTACCATATGCACAAATAGGGATGATACTGATCACTCCTGTGAAGTTTCAATGAAATCTCTCTAGCCGTTTTGGAGATCAAGCGCGAATTATATCTTTCTATTTATAGCTCTGGTGGCCATTTTGTGCAGCGGGGCGGAACA